TGAATAACTTGATACTTATATTTTATGATTGTATACTTTGTAAGTGAATTTTCTTGCCAAAACTGTGTTCTCTGCACATAATTCTGTAATTCTAGTCCTATTATTTGTACAGGTTAGTTTATCTTTGAGGGCGATTTTCTCAGAACGTGGTTCTTATACACCTAAACTTTAAATGCTCCCATCTCTGGATTTACTTATAGTAGGGAAGTCATTCAAAGACCAAATGAAAGCTTATAATGTGATCTACCCAAATATAATATAAACTCAATTTTTGAATTTCTAACCATGAGACTCATTTTGTGACGAGACCTCACAAATGTTTTAATTATTTGCAATAATGCTTATTTCATTTTAGGCACTGCTAGCCAATATGGCAGCCATGTACGCAATATACCACGGGCCAGAAGGACTCAAATCCATAGCTAATAGAGTTCACAATGGAACACAGTTAATAGCTGAAGGTAAGCATCTAATTTACATATATTGATAATAATTCTGACTAATGTACTTGTTTATAAAAACACTGGTTTTGCATTCCCAATGAACACTTCTAAGCTTCCACAACAACAGAAACTGGGGGTTAAACAGGTTCATTCACTATTTTGTGTTCGTTTACATACACACAAGCCAGATGTGTACATTTGACCTCCAGTTTTTAAGTTGTTATCCAAGAAGTCTAGGTTCTATCAAACACAAACCCTGGGAGAGGATGGCCTTGAACCAGCGGCCATGTTAAGGCTGTGGATAGAAGCCCCTTGCCTTTATGCTTGCCACTTGACATGAAAATTGAATAATAATATGTTTAATATCAGTATGACACTATCAATATAATGGACAATCAAACTTAAAAGCTGACCAGTTACAACAAGGCCAGGAATAATGTGCATGTCTCATAAACACACTTTCTTGTCCTACAAACAAACGCCTACAAACACACATATTTGCATATGTTTTTACACATTGTTTTGTGGGACCTTAGCAACGGTATCCAAGGGGTGGGCTTAGCAGAAATGTTCATTTATTGTGATATGATTCATGTATCTTTCTTATTGGACACTTTAGAGTCATTTGTTTCTAAACTGAAAATACATTTTATTGAGGGACAATAAGTGTTGACTTATAATATAAAGTATTTTGTAACATTTTGCTTTCTAATTTAAACTTGTATCTAACTATTGATTAATTAATGAGATATTCTTAGGTATTTTTTTTGTCCTAACTGTGTAAAATTGTATTGTACACTTTTTTGGCTGAATAAAGAATGAATGAATGTATTTCATTGCCTTTATGTTGATAACATGTTTAGAGTATTTAATTTTACCATTTTATAAAATTTAGCATAATTGGTAATGAATTGATAATTTCAATTAATTAATTTAAAAAAAAATTTATTTTTACAATCAGGTGTAAAAAATGGAGGACATGATTTACTGACTGGTTCAGTGTTCTTTGATACTATAAAGTTCAGTTGCAAGTCGGAAGAAATCAGAAGGGATGTACTTAAGCGGGCAAATGAAAAACAGATGAATCTTAGGCTTTACGAGAATGGAGAAGTATGTTTACGTTGTTTTTTTTTAACTCCCCCATGTAGGGTGATGTTAACTTAATATGTGTTTTTAAATAAGGCCTAAAAAAGTTAGTGTTGCTAAAGTATGTCTGACCCAAAATCTAAAAAATCTGGTTGCCGTTTTCTTTTCTCTTGGCAAGAATATTATTTTGCCAAGGAAACGATTGAAAGAATTATTGATGTTTTAATGAATTCCATTTCTTGCTTCAATAAATCCTTTTGATACCTTAACAATGGATTTTAGTGTAGTAGTAGTTACCATATGAAACCGCCAAAATGTATAACTTGAGACTTAAGTGGTTTAGTGGTTTGTGGTTTAGTTGTTTAGTTGTTGGTGCCTGTGAACCCTATAATTAGGCCTAGACCATAGCAGTAAATAAAGGAATTTGTGTGTTTTGCTATTTTATTGCTATTTTATTACATCTTACAATGTGTAGTCTCTGTATTGTCTTGAAGCAAACGAAAATATAATTCGATATGGTTTTGATATTGTGGTGCAAGGCAATCAATCAATCATTTATATGGCGCCATTCCAACAGTCATTGCTCGTGGTGCAGTTCCAAAAAGAAGAAAAAAAACATTATTTAAAAAGTTGCATCTTGAGTTGTGAAAAAATAATGTAAACAATTTACATGATATATAATTTCCTTTAAATTTTGTGACTATCTCAACTAAATAAATTGAAACATAATGGTTTTGAAACTACAATGTATGTCTATTGTTATCTCAATACATAGTTTACTAATACACTTAGTATGTTTATTGCTTTATTTTTTTTCTTTTTGACAGCTTGGTATTTCAATTGATGAGACTGTAAGCGTAACAGATTTGGATGATCTACTCTTTGTCGTTGGTAGTCAACTTAATGCTGTAAGTACAGTGCTACACCTAAAAATAGATAGAAATTTTCAAAAATGGCTTGTTATTTTAAATGCATTTATTCTTCTACCAATTTCCATTTGTCTGCTAATTGTTGGTTGGCAGTCTGAGGAAGTCGCCATGCGCTTTGTTGTGCTGTGGTTTCCGTTGAATCTCGTCACTGATTAAGTATTGCAATCACCACGGTGACCAGTAAGTGGACCTTTTCGCTAAGCCCCGCCCCTTGGATACAGTTGCTAAGGCCCTACAAAAGGACTGTAAAAACGTACGCAAACACATGTGTTTTTGCGACCACACCTGTGCATGTTCTGGGCCCTGATCTGACACTCTGGTAAGGTCAATTATGTCTTGTGATATTGAATTACACCACAGTAACATCGCCAGTTACTAACCTCCCATTTACGGACTCTCAATTTTACGAAAGTTTAAATCAAGAAATATCGATTGTTTTCAGCCGATGTTATATTTCATTTGAGCTGTGTATGTTTGTTGAGGCATACCCTGTACAGTAACTCTTACTTTTTGTTCATTGAGGGCGCTATTTGCATAGCTTCGCGATCTTTTTATGAAGAGAATAAAATTAACACTCATTTTGGCAATTCTGGTCATGTTTTTTCATTCAGAAATCACTTGAAATGAATACTTCACGGTGAGCTCAAGTAATTTTGGCTTCTGTAAAGTATTATTTTGTTGCAGAAAACAGTAAAATCCAAGTCATATTTCATGACAAAATGTTGCTCCCAAGCCAAGGCAAGGCTTAGTCCTACCTATCCCGGTACTTTGTAGCATAGGCCTAGTCATACCACTGAGATGCTGTGAAAATTTGAACTCTCTGAATTACGAATTTTCTCATTTACGAACTCTGTTTGGATGGAAGCGTATGTAATTGGGAGATGTTACTGGATAGTAATGAATCTATGTTTTTGGCTTTGCAGTATTCAGTATTGTAAATTAATTTTTTTCTTTCTCTTTATAAGAATGAAATTGCTGAGACATTCCCTGGTGGAGTTGCAGACACCAGTATTTGTAAAACAGAGCACAAGCGAACAAGCCAATTCCTCACACATTCAGTATTCAACAGGTTAGTATATAAAATAATGGCCAACATTATTTGGGGATGGTCTTATAAATAAATGTTTTGGATATTTTAAGGAATTAAAGCTCTACCAGGGAAGTGTAAATCTTTGAATTTCAATTTTCAAATACATTTCTCCCTCTAATTAAAGATTCCTCTAATTAAAGACCACCTCTAATTAAAGACCACTATTTTGTGGTCCCAAATTAATAGCTGTCATCATAATTATTCTAATTAGAGACCAAGTCTGCTAAAGACTATGGAAATCCCAGTCCCAGATCTTTATTGGAGGGAGACCCGTACTTACAGTCCCTGTTTCAAATTATTTAGAATCTGTTTCTAAAGCCAAATTATTAGGAATTTAGATCAAAAATTGTAATAAATTACTATGCTCTAAGTAAGATAAAGCCATTGTTTTAGGAGCAAACTATTGATGTATGTGTTACGTTTGACCTTGCATGGAATGTAAGGTCAAAGATAAACATATATACATCAATTGATTTGGTGTATATATGTTTGATCTTGCATGGAGTGTAAGATCAACATAACACATATATACGTCAATGTTTGCTGTATATATTGTTATGTTTGACCTTGCATGGAATGTATGCTTATGTAAAATACAGCTTTTGGATTAATGAGGATCAAAACAAGAAAATTGAGTCCATTCCCAAGAGAGCCCTCAGGAATATTTCATGGTATAAGGAATTTGATCGCATATCAATAATGAAAGTTCTTATTTGATTGCAATATTCTCGCACTTGAGAAGCCTAGACATTATCTATGTGTTGAATGCTTTATATGAGAGAAAATAGTCACTGGCGTAGCTAATCATATCCATCATGTATGATTACAGTAGACATAAAGAATATATTTTAAACAAACAAGCCAAATGTTAATATACACAGATCTATATATGTTCCTTTAAATGTTTAAAATTAGTTTTTAATGTTTGTTTTAAGGTTTTGTATTTTAAGACATTTTTAAATCAATAATTTACATGTTCTATGGAATTCTGATGGTAAAGTTCTTGCTGTTCAATTCTTAATAAAATCGTATGTGGATGATGATGATGGTTGTTAAAAGTGATATATATTACAGGTGTAAATAATGTGTTTATTTTTGTTTTCAACCTTGCAGCCATCATTCAGAAACTCAGATAGTTCGCTACATGAAGACTCTTGAGAATAAAGATTTGTCGTTGGCCCACAGTATGATTCCTCTCGGTTCCTGTACAATGAAACTCAACAGTACCTCAGAAATGATGGTAAGATCTAAAAAATAAAAACAACTCCTGCATAAAATTGCAGGCGGTATGCTTTTAGACAGTTGTCTGCTCTTTACTGAAGAGTGTACTGCAATCTTAAACATGAACATGAACAAACAGTTTATTGGTTTAAAAACGTTTCTTCTGAAAAATGGTGCACTAGTTCTAACATGTTTCAGCCCTCCGCCTGAAACACAAGGAATCCACAAACTGTGGACTGTTTACTAAGCCCCACCCCACAAAACAATAGTGTAAACATGTGTAAGCATTCGTGGTGGGAGCGTGTGGCGTAAAGTGTTGGACTTCTGATCGTGAGATCGGGAGTTCGAGACGGGCACTTGTCGCATTGCTTGTGTCCTTGGGCAAGACACTTTACTTACGTTTGCCTCTCTCCACCCAGAAGTATAAATGGGGGGTGGTGGGGTGGTCATGCTTTTAACCGACTTGCTGGTGACTCTGCTACGACTATTCCAGTCAATAACAGCAACTAGAATCGATTATACGCGATTATTCGCTAAAAGGATGCTACATTAAAAAAGAAACTGTTAGCTCCTGTGATTCATACAAACGAAGGATGTAAACATGTGTGTTTGTGGGACATGTGTGTTTGTAGAATGTGGTATTCTCAGCCCTATTCTGTGATTGGTCAGTTGTTAAGTTTGATTGACATGCCAGAAGGGTCCATTGAACCAGATACCAAAGGTCTAAAATGATTGTGATGGCTCAGCACACACGTAGTGGCTACCGCCAGTTTGGCAGGCTGAGTTATACTGCTCTTTGTGAATTATTGTTTTCATTGCTGTTATAGCAGTATTAGAGTCAAGTTGTTACCGTTTGTGTGTACACACCCTCTGTTGCACGGTCACCTCTTAAAGTTTAACATATTTTTTTCTCTATTGTTTTAGCCTATTACTTGGCCAGAGCTTGCTAATCTCCACCCATTCATTCCCGAGAGCCAAGCTGAAGGCTATCAACAAATGTTCCATGAATTAGAACAAGATCTCTGTGAGATTACGGGTTACGATAGCATTTCATTTCAACCAAACAGGTGGGTAAGGCAAGGCTTGTAATACTTCCTCCCGCATACCTGCCTACCAGCCAAAAAATTTAAATTTTGCTTTTATAAATGAAGGTGTATAGTCACCTCCAAATGAAGCTGGAAATGTACAGCCTAATTGTGCTCAAATCAATTCTCATCTTTCTATTCCACTGCTGCCTTAAATTAATTGATTTTGGATTTTATTTTTTTGCATTTCATATTCTTTGAACTTACAAAGATGGTCAGCATTTTGTTCAAACTCATTCCAATACATTTTTTTTAAAGATGAGCATTGATTAAAAATTTAAAAACAAAATCTGTTTTTATCTCTCCAGTGGAGCCCAAGGGGAATACACTGGACTAAGGGCAATTATGGCTTATCTGACGCACATAGGAGAGGGACATCGTAAGGTAACCAATCAAATTACAGCTTCTGTTTAATACCAGGAGCGGATCCAATAGGCGGCCCATTTTGGCACTAAATTAAAAAATGTCAAGGCATATAATATTGAAATTAGCGCTCTTGCTTATCTATCCTGAATATGATGTGCCCCCCCCCTCTGTTTAAAAAATTCTGGATCCGCCCCTGAATACTTTGTATTGGTCAAACTGTATCTACAATATGACAATATGGCATTGATAGTATAGTATAGTATGATATGGTTTCATATCGTATGGCATCATGTAGTTAAGTACTAATTCCATGTATCAAATTATGTGATAATAACAAATTGACAGTTATTTTCAGAGATAATTCAAAATAGACACAGTAAAATCTTTGACGATAAGATAACAGTGATGGTAGAAATATCAGTAGTAATAGTAGTATATTGTTCCGTCAAGTAACTGTGTACTATTTGTTTTTTTTTAAGGTTTGTTTGATCCCAACATCAGCACATGGGACTAACCCAGCCAGTGCTCACATGGCAGGCATGAAGGTTCTGTAGATGATGGGACCAGATGGTTTAAGGAAGGCGACGCAGATGGCAATTCTAAATGCTAATTACATGGCAAAGCGTTTGGAAGGACCTTACAAGATCTTATTTAGAGGAACTACAGGTTAGCTAAGAGGAAGCATTATTATTATCATCTGACATCATTTTAATAATAATTATGGATGTCGTCATCATTATTGATGTCATTATCATCATTATGGATGTCGTCATCATTATTGATGTCATTATCATCATTATGGATGTCGTCATCATTATTGATGTCATTATCATCATTATGGATGTCGTCATCATTGTTATTGATATAATTATCATACAACTAATGGTATTATCCAATGGAGCTTGTCAATTTTCATCTTCATTGTTTTCATAATCGTAGTTTTTTTTCACCAATATCATCGCAATAAACACTGTTATCATATTATTGATGTCATGGACATAATTTTAGAATGAATGGACCTGTTGCAAGTTTTCGAAGTTGATGTCGTCTTTGTTTTTTTTTTAGGTTTTGTTGCTCATGAGTTTATTCTGGATACCAGGGAATTCAAAGCATCATCAGGCATTGAGTCAGCAGATATTGCCAAGAGGCTTCAGGATTTTGGTGGGTTCACCAGCTTTTGAATATCTTTGCCTTATGCACCATTATCTCTCCTAAATTTTTAATTATTTTTCCGTATTTAAAGCCGAACATGTGACAAGTTTTTGAAAAGATGGTACATCCAGCAATGCCAATAATTTGATTCATTACATCAGAAAATTGTAATGACAATGACAACAATTTATGTATTGATTATTAATTATTATAAGAAACGACAGATACAGTATATTTAATACAATTTAGATATCCAAATAAGCAACATAGTAAGCAGTTACTTTAGACTTAAGTATAGGTACATTTAGTGAGACAGATACCAGTGATTTACCCATAGAATGAGTTAGGGTTATACCAATACAGTATGGGTAAAATCACAGTATACAATTTGCCCTCCAATTCGAGACCACCTTTAAAGACCTGAAAATTTGGGGTGGGCTATAGGTTTGATTTCCACTTAGCAGGTTAGCTTTGTTATTTGGTTTTTTTTTTTAAGAGGCTTTGAATTAGAGGGTTTTTGAATTGGATGGTGGACAGATTTTTAAAACTGGGCATAAGACTACCATATTTTTGTCAACACAATATTGGTCAAATTTTCTGTGATAGTATTATTGAGTGTCTTTTCATATTTGTTTGAAGTCACAGTCTGTTCCCACTGTTGACAGACTAAACCTGAAGTAGAAATTTGATTGTTATATCTTTTCTTTCCAGGATTCCATGCACCAACTATGTCATGGCCAGTAAGCAATACGCTAATGATTGAACCGACTGAGAGTGAGAACAGAGAGGAGCTCGATAGATATTGTGATGCACTGCTTAGTAAGTTTCGTTGGCATAGTGAATGTTTTCTAGATCTCTTTTTTTACACACATGGAAAATTATCAACGATAAGACATGTTCAAAGTGTATCGCTGTTGACGATGATGCACATCTTTTTTGTCAGTGCCCACGATCTGTGGAAATTTATTCAAAATTTTAGCCTTACTAATTATGGTCTTGAAGCAAATTTTGAAAATGATGTCCTTGGTACAGAAAACGTTTTCATTGACCATCTATTTTCGTTTTGTATTTATGACAGAAAAAAATATTAGAAAATATTTGAAACATAAACTTCTTAAAACAATTTTAATACAACAACTTCTTATACAATTGTATGCTTGAAAATTCTTCAGTACTATATTTTTATACTACCATATTGCATTATAGCTCACTGTGTCTTTTGATATTTCGAACAGTCATTAAAATTTACCAACATTTGTTATGTGTGCAATGACTTGTCTTTCTGATGAATTAAGGTGGAATGACTCCACAAAAGATGAAAAAAAAAAAAAGGAAGCAATATTCTTTTATTGCCAAAAACATAAAATGTTGTGTGTGTTTATGAATATTAAAGACAAACAAGGCTTTGTAGTTCCAAATTTTCAGTTTTGAAAGCTAAAAACTCTCAAGTGAATATTTAAATTTAATTTAACTTTGCTTTATTCACTAGCCATTCGTGCCGAGATTGCTGACATCGAAGAAGGGCGAGTTGCTACCGATGACAGTCCATTGAAATATGCTCCTCATCCTCAACATGTGGTGATGTCAGACTCGTGGAATAAGGCATACACAAGGAAACAAGCAGCTTATCCTGCTGTACGTACACATCAATGTTTTATAGGCAGTGGCTATTGTTACACCAGCCAAATTCCTGATTCTGATTGGATGTTTTTGGATGTTTTTGTCCTAATTCAATTGATACATACAATATCATCCAAGTCATTTATTATTTTTAATTTATATTATTAAGATGCAATTATTCAAAAGTATATTTTATTCAAAAATTGTTAGCAAGTTTGCTGGTTTGAATTTTTTTTTATTTGCAATTTTTTTGGCTAATTCTTATATTATTATCAATATTGGTAGTTTATTTGTAGTATTATTAGCTATGAGGTGGAAAAAATAAATGTATTAAAAGTCATTATTAAGTCATTATTTTTTTCCCCCCTTTTTAGGCATTTGTTAAACCAAGCGATAAATTTTGGCCATCAGTTGCACGAATAGATGATGTATACGGTGATCAAAACCTGATCTGTACCTGCCCACCAATGTCTGAATACGAAGATGAGGAGAGCAGCTGATTAAACTTACAGGATTAATTGGGCATTCAGGTTTAGGTGATTCATACTAATGACTTAACAAATATATGAAATATACAATATACACATAGGAAATATACTTATACATTATATAATAATAATTATGATTTTTAAAGTTGGTCTTTGTTAATCTTTACTTTAAGATATATTTTTGATAAATAAAGTAAAAGTAAAGCTTGGTTTCTATACAATCGCTACACGTTATCACCGACAGGTTTTGGTGACGCTGATTGGTCGGTTGAATTGGGGAGGCTTCCTGATTGCGTTGGGGGCTGCTACACAGTACAAGAATTGAAAGCACTGTAGTGACAGTGTAGCAATTTTATGGAAACCTGGCTTAAAATTCTACCCTCTACTACCAGGGAAAAAAAAACCCCCCAAAAACTACTTTATTTACCAAAATATTTCTTCAAATCGGATTAACAGATATTGACTTTAAATATCAAAACAGCAATTTGAATAAATTTATTTTTAACGAATATTGTGATTGTGATATATACAGTATTCACAGTTATTTGACAGAAAGGCAGTTCTTTAAAAAAAATATTAATTTTACTTATTTGGCACAAAAAAGTCACTAGGACTTTGATAAAGCCTTTTTATGTAAGTGCCGTACCACTTAATGAAATGAGAAATAGAACTGTAAGAAAACAATATAGCAGGTGATTTTTGGGTGTGAATAATTTGATTTCTTGTGAATTTTTTTTATGAATCCTGGAATATAAGTTACTAATATACAGTATTTTATGTTGTTTTTTTTTTTTAAAGTTTATAGTTTTACTTTTATAATATTCATGGTTTACCTTTTTTAGATACATTGTGTGTGTGATAACAATACGGCACATACTTTTATTGGTTTTCGCCTGCTTCAATGCAATTTTCGCTGTTGTGTTGTTGCTGTGTTTTATTTACCATTTCAATTTTGTCATTACTTTATCTTTTATTATCTTTAACTGAATTTTCATTATTAAATTAATTTGTAACATTACAAACTAGGAAAAGGTTAGACAGACAGGTTTAAAAATTTCTAATTTTGTTCTCTCACCAGAGCACTTACAGTTCTCTGGTGAGCGAACACAATTTGTAGTGTAGAAGTTCTTAATACATAAACCGCTACGTACGAATCTTCACAATTGTATAGGTATATTTTTGTGTAGGTATGTTGTGTATGTCCACAATTACATAAACCATACTTGAGTGGTTTTCATTTTCTACTTCTAAATTTGACAGCATCTTCACTACCTCTGTAGGTGGCTTATGCGTGTTGTAGGCTAGGAATACATTGCAGCTTGGTTATATTTATTGATTATTTTTATATTTATCTATATTAATTCTATATTAATTATTGTTTTACAACCTAACTAAATAATTTATTAAAATTGTAATATAATATTACATTCTAAAGTAAATTTTACAAGGTTTTGTGCAGGGATTGTGGAAACAGCGTTTCTTTTTACCTCTGTGGTTAATCATTTTCTCTGTGTCAAACCAGGACAAATATAATGTACATTAATAATGGCATACAGTGGTAAACAGTCTTAAGTAGATATAAATGACAATGTGATTGAGTGAAATCATCTGCACTTGGAATCTGTTCTGTTATAATTAATTAAAAGATGTTGACTGGTTCTGGCAAAAACCCTTACATAGACATTTTGAATTAAATAGAAGTGAGAAACAATGATGAAACACTTGTGTATGTGCCGTTACTCCTTTACTGATTACCAATTTTCTGTTTTGGAAGAAGTCTTTTCCAAAAGGTCTGTTTAAATGAGTTTCTTAGCTCGTCTAATTTTGGTGATACCCATCGACACTGACATCCATGAGACAAATAATAATAAGTAGGGTCATGCAGATTTATTTGCGGGAGATGGTTTATTTTCCGTGAGATCCTTGCTTGGTTGCAGAAGCCGTTCAGATTTCCAGGAGACCCCTGCTATTCTGTGTTTTAAAGCTTTTTGGTTTCATCAACCATGTAATCTTTTTAAAGTTCCTAATTCCTTTGTCCCTAACTGCTTGTCTACTCAGGGAGTACAAACAAGTCATCTGGCGCATTAAATTGTTTTCTCTATTATCATTTTTGAGTCATTCCATGCCAAATCATCATCTTGCATGGCTGGTCACTCAAATATTATTTCTGTTTCTTTTGTTTGGAATACCTCTATAATGAACACATTTACTATTTTTATATTATATTATTTGTTTATATAGTGCCTTTTCATGTATAAAGCGCTTTTCCCCAAGGTCAACGAGTCCACCATGGGTTCACATGCTTGACTGTTGCTGCTGTAGTCAGAGCTGCAGCAGGCAACCCCATCAGGTTCTAATTTATATTCTTGGGGGTGGAGAGAAGTAATGTAGAGAATGTGCTTTCCTCAAGGACTCAAGTGAAATGCCCAGCAAGGGATTGTAACCTGTCCAAAGTTGCATGGTTTTTAGAGGCTTTAATTTCCGAGATTTAGATAAGATATTCATCCGAAAATTGCTAACTTTATGATTAGGAAGATGTTTCAGTTTTGCAAAATCTGATGTGAAATTTTGATGATAAAGCTGCTCCAGTCAATCCAATGACAGTGCACTATAATTCATAACACGCTGTTTCAATTTCGCATACAGTATTTGCCTGTTGGATGTACTAATCAATCGATCGTTACATTATGCGACTTTAAACTGCTGTATTACCTCAGGTCTTTCTTAGAAAGTTGAATAAATGATCCACACAAATAATTTTTATTCACGACCTCATTTAATGGCATTATAGTTATTAACTGTTAAAAATAACATGCTGAAATATCTGTGACTTCGAAAAGAATAGTAAGAACTATAGATACATGTCATGAGCTAAAGAAAGAAATAAAATTTGATATATTAAAAAGCTTATTCTGTTGTTCATTTGTAATTCATAAAATATTTCTTGCAAATTCCATTATTATATTACTTGTGTAGACCCTTATCCCTTTCAATATTAGTATTCAATGTGTTTTAAAGGGTGCCACCATGTAGAAATATTCCCAGGCTGCAAGTAATAAAACACAGACATTTAAAATTTAATTTTATAGTAAGTACCTCCCTAAGATATTTAATGTTAGTGCCCAACATGCAACACTATACTCCCCTACCCTTTTGTAAAAATCAAAATACACATACGTAAACCAGTAAATAACGTACGTCGAGCATGTAAAATCCTAAAATTAACGTACTCCGCAACGCAAAATAAATAAATTAAGACGTCATCCGTTAACATTAAGGTAATACTCATTCCTGGTCCTGGTTTAAGACACCAAGCAAGTCAGATATTATTTTCCTTGGCAGTAAATATCTGTACAGTAATTCAATTTTCATGTCAAGAAAATGACACAAAACATTTTTAGAAAATCCTGAAGCAAACTAATTTAAACTAAAAATTTCAAATTGCAAGTGAAGTGCTGCGAAGTACAACTGCATATAAATGTTCTTCCAACAAAATTATTTATGCGAGTCAAGTGAAAATAATGAATAATAAAACTATAACAAATAATATGAGACACGACCCATTGTCTATATTAGAACACTTCTCATTGGGTAACAAAGTCGTAAATTTTTAATTTTTGTCAAAAAGTGTCTATAGTGTGGTGAATTATGGTTTAGGTTTTTTTTAATAAAGTT